GGAGAGGGGCGGGGGGGGGTCGTCTCCGCCCTGAAAAGAAAGGAGGAAAAAAAGTTCTTGAAGACACCAAGAATGTGGTTCAGTTGGAATACCTCAGAGCTCAAGACCCCCTAAGAACCACTGTGCGTCTCTTCCTGCGATCCAGAAAAAACAAACCATCCATATGAAAGACAGAACCATCGCTTTGTCTGGTAAGTATTGCATATAATAAGACAGCTGGAGCTTTATTTTCATCGGAAACTATGTTTGCAATTATGTTCGACGCTTTTTCTTCCCAGCTGGGTGTGATTCTTGCCTCAACAGTTATTGGGGGGTAAATAGGTCCAGGGTAGTTTATGGGGTTACCGGGTAAAAATAAAGTCTGCTTTTAAGCTTTTCTGAATGGAAACACTGGCACACTTGAGATGCCACTCCATTCACTCGGCAGTCGCGTGACCTGGATTTATGGGGGGCTCTTATCTACGGCATTGCTTCACCAGGAGGAGGGGGCAGTTAAAAGTGCCAGGGCAACTGCTGGTTGTTCTCTTTAGCGACCAACTGAACCGAGCGCGCTGCGGGCAGCCAGAATGAAGCCCCCGTCAGACCTGAAAGGTTTGTTTCTTCCTTAAGGAAACTCAGTCGGTGTGACGTGTTTATTCTTCTTTATAATGTACTTACAATCGTGCATCACTTTAATTACACATAATTGTGCTGTCGACGTGCTCCGTCAGTGTTTGTCTATTTTAGCGTCTTCTGGTTGATTAAAGGTGGCGTTCTTGTTTTTGTTTTTACTGTCTGTGCTCAGCTTGATTGGGTTTTAACTTTCAAAAAGAGACATATTTCCGCAGTCACATTCCTGACCAGGCTGCTGATTAAACTTGAACCAGGTGCCTTACATAACTGTACTTAAACTGAACTTTCTTCTTCTTTTTTCTTCTCTTCCTCCTTCCTTGTGCAACAGCATTTAAAACTGCAATGCAAAGCAAAACTTTCCCACAATATTTACTTCTTGAACATGGTGCTGAGTGGGTTCTGGAAACTGACAGAGGCTCAGAACTGGGTTGAAACGTCTTTTGAACTTGAGCTCAGGGGCAGCTTTGAGTTTCAGGGCTAAACTCAGCCTGTACTTTTCCACTAGCGCCGGCTTTTCTTGGCACCGCGCCCCCTGGGCTCAGACTCTCCCCCTAACGCTGTGTCACTGCCAATGGTTTTAATACAGAAGCAGCCAAACAGTGAAGTTGATAGCTCTTAGTTTGGAGGCTATCGATGTAATGTGAGGCTGGATCTGTGTACGCGGAGCCCGGACACGGGGTGATAAATATAATCACAAGTTTACAAACACGATCTGCACCATCTGCAGTTCCCTTGTACACCACAGGGGACTAAGTGGTGCCATATGTTAAAGTCTACACATCTGGATGACATTAGCCGATGGTATATAGACTGCAGTCCAACACCTACAGCCTAGTGCGCCCTCTGTGTTTACTTCCTGGTGATGTTCTGACTCAGTGTGACACGGTCAGGTTGCTATGGCATTGCTCAAACGAGTGTGTGCAAACTTTGCAAACCAGTTTTTCAATCACTAACTTTTTTTCTCTCTTAATCTACTGCTGTTTTGGACGCGACCAGAGTTTAAGGCGCGGCTATGACGCGCATGAGGCGCAACGAACTGTGATTGGTCCACAACAAGACCACAGTTTGTTTACCCTACTTATATGTTTGCGTAGCGTTACACCCACTTGCGGTTGTGGGCGTCAACTTGCGCCACCTATCAGCAACTCCTCCTTCTTCTCCTGCCCTATATCAGCCAGGACCCGATGGCAAATTAGTCATATTTTGGTTTTAGGAGCTTGAGGAGTGGAAAAGTTACTGCTGAACTGTTTACAAAATGACGATCAAAGATTTAAACGAGAAGCCGGTCCTGACTTACTCTAGGAGCAAAGGATTAGTAGCTTTAGTCACTGGTATGGCAACACAACTGGATGTTTTTATGACATGAATGGGCAAACTTTTGCAGTTTGAGATGGAAAACTAAATCTTCCTTCTTGTTTTTTTCTCTTTCAGCGTTTATGAAACAGAGAAGAATGGGTCTGAACGACTTCATTCAGAGGATTGCAACAAACTCCTACGCCTGCAAGCAGTGAGTACTGTCTGACTCATGTTTCTGTTCTGCACTCACATGAAGGCAAACATTAGTAAACAGCCAGGCGCCATTATACTTCTGGAAATATCTGACTAATAAATCGAGAACCAAAGGATCTCATCGTGAGGATGAATTAATGAACTCTGGTTTGACCTTTGTGTTTTACAGTGCTGAGGTTCAGTCCATCCTCAACTTGAGTCCCCCCCAGGAGGCTGAGCTCATGAATGCAAACCCTTCTCCTCCTGTAAGTATATTTACGTTAACTATTGATGAGTTGGATGCTTTGTTTAAATTGTGACACACACTGTGATAAATAGACATTTCTTAACATTATTCGTCTTCTTCCACAGCCCAGTCCATCCCAACAAATCAACCTCGGTCCATCCTCCAACCCTTCAGCCAAACCCAGCGACTTTCATTTCCTCAAGGTGATCGGCAAGGGAAGCTTCGGTAAAGTCCTGCTGGCACGCCACCGTGCAGATGACGAATTTTACGCCGTCAAAGTTCTACAAAAGAAGGCCATTCTCAAGAAGAAGGAGGTAAACACGCCGATACACACGGGTGTTCCTTAAGGCAAAGTCATTCCACTTGCGGTGTCCCGTAGCTCGTCAGCTCATCTCACCGCCTTTTGTTTCTGCTCCACAGGAAAAACACATCATGTCAGAGAGGAATGTGCTGCTAAAGAATGTCAAGCACCCGTTCTTGGTGGGACTGCACTACTCTTTCCAAACAGCGGACAAACTCTACTTCGTCTTGGACTACATCAACGGAGGAGAGGTGAGTTTCCTGTCGAACCTGTGTCAGACAAGAGTGAAATGAAGCAGCGATAAAAGAAACTGAGCAGTGACAAAGACGAGGCTGATTGATTCAGAGACAGAAATGTGGGCTGCTGCACTCCTGCTAATTTTTGCCTTTCCTCCACTAAAGGAAACATCGCAGGAAATTGTGGGGTGGGCTGTAACAGTGGTACAAACTCAGTGGGCCAAATTTAGCAATGCCTTTCAGGCTGGCTGTGTCTAATCGCACTAATTTCCTGTGATTGTTGGAAGAGCAAAGACAGTGCTGATTAAATATGGGCCTCGCCAGGAAACAGGACACATTTTCTCTCCTTTCTCTTTTCTTCCTCTCTGTTTCCCTCCATCCCACCTTTGGCCTTAATGTCATCTGTCTCCCCCTAGCCACTGCCTTCCTGTCACTTTATTCCTCCCATCCGGTTTCCTTTCTGTCTCAGCATCTCTGCTCTGGTGGTTGTTGTTTTTTTGTTTCTCTCATGTGAATGTCTTCTTTCTGCTCATGTCTTTCTGCCTCTGTGTTTTCTACACCTTTGAAGTGTGAAATAAATAAATAAACATATGAATAACCTTTGCCCTCTTTTGTTCCCTCTCTCCCAGTTGTTCTACCATCTACAGAGGGAGCGCTGCTTCCTGGAGCCCAGAGCCAGGTTCTACGCTGCGGAGATTGCCAGCGCCCTCGGCTACCTCCACTCTCTCAACATCGTCTACAGAGACCTGAAGCCAGAGAACATCCTGCTGGACTCACAGGGACACATCATCCTCACAGATTTTGGCCTGTGCAAAGAGAACATCGAACCCAACGGAACCACGTCAACCTTCTGTGGTACGCCAGAGGTGAGGATGAAATCTCCGGCCGCGTTGACTTCTACTGTTTTTTAGCTGTTCACCTATTGTCCTCAGTGTGTAACTTTTGTGCCCTTGTTCCTGCCTGTACAGTATTTGGCTCCAGAGGTGCTTCACAAGCAGCCGTACGACAGAACAGTGGACTGGTGGTGTTTAGGAGCCGTTCTCTACGAGATGCTCTATGGTCTGGTAAGTGTGACATGTTCAGTCTCATCATTTAACCACCAGTATGCGATGATGTATTGCTCTGAAGACTGACATCCTTCTCTCTTGTCTCTCTCTCTCTCCAGCCTCCATTCTACAGCCGCAACACAGCAGAGATGTACGACAACATCCTGAACAAACCACTGCAGCTCAAACCCAACATTTCAAACGCAGCCAGACACTTACTTGAAGGCCTGTTGCAAAAGGACCGCACCAAGAGGCTGGGCTGCACAGATGATTTCGTAAGTATTTAATTGCGCAGTAGCGTCTGCGTATCTCCGTAGCTATGCAAATGTTACTAAGGTAATAATCTCCGTACTTACGGTTTGGATCTTTTCCAGATTGAAATCAAGAACCACGTATTCTTCTCTCCAATCAACTGGGATGATCTCAACGCCAAGAAAATCACCCCTCCCTTCAACCCCAATGTGGTACGTTCCACTTTAATACTTCGGTTATTATTTTCTATTACAGCCACAGTCCACTGGCTGTGTTCAGTCGTAGCCTGCAGTTCACATGATCTAACATTTCCAAGTAAAGTTAGAATAACCTGCTGTTGTCTCTGCTCTCCTTTCCTTCCTTCTCCCTTCAGACGGGACCCAACGACCTGCGGCACTTTGATCCTGAGTTCACAGATGAGCCGGTGCCCAGCTCCATCGGCTGCTCCCCGGACAGTGCACTTGTCACAGCCAGCATCAAAGAGGCCGCTGAAGCTTTTGTGGGCTTCTCCTACGCCCCTTCTATGGACTCCTACCTATAGAATTTCCATCAAGACTCCCAACGGACACCAGACTAGATTTCCTGGGCCTGTACTTTGCCCATGGATCTGCATCTTGACCCCACTCGACCTGGATATTCCCGAGCAACCCCTGCAACAACTCTGCATCTACAATAATGTATACACGTGTTCTTGCCATAACGTTACAAACTGTTGAATGCATTGAAGAATGCCAGTCCATTTGCTACAACTCCATGACTCCATGGAGTCGCAAACCTCTGTCGTACCGTAAATTACCACTGCACAAAACCTTCAAAACTACAGACTCTGAATGTCCACCTTGAATCTGACAGTGGAGGTCCTTTGCACAAAGCTCAGGCAGCTGAAAAGCCCCATCTGGACCCTGATTTCAAAACTGACAAGCACATACACCAATTTATCCACCTTTTTCAACCATAAAATACTGAAAAAAATGAACACCGTCCTCATCTATGTAGCGAGACATCTCATATTTGAGATTCTGTCCAGCGACCCGCTGGGATCAACATGCTTGTCGCACCTGAACGACTAGCTCGGAGGTGACCTTTATTTTGGTGCTTTAGTTTCTTCACATTTTCTGGCTGTGGTTGTTGAAAAGGGAGTCTTTTGAAGCTGAATGTTACAGGGAGGGGACGTTTTTATTTATCCCTCAGAGGTGCCTTTATTTTCTTGCCACCATCAGAACACACATCTTTTGGGTTCACCTATCTCCATCCTTAGTTGTTGCTGTTTCACCTGCCGTTTCCTTTTCAAGTCAGTGGAGAGGAGAAATTTGGCACTAAAGTTTGACACGGCTCTGCGGTCCTTACGATGTGAGACGTAGGAATTCAACTGGTGTTTCCTTATTTGCACATAAAGGGACTCACACCGTCTTCCTCTCACCTCACAATAATGTAACGATGGCCTGCTGACGGGCCGTCAACACTGAAACTGAACATTCCATGTTAATATTGCTGTAATGCAGTTTGTTGGTATTTAAGTTCGTTTGTATATTTGGAGTTATGTGCATTAGTTTTAATGTATATTGAAATAAAAAATGACTAAAGGTATGCCTAAATATCTATACATGTAACAATAAATGTTAAATGTACTGTACATTGTAAAATTGTTTAAAATTAAGTGACCATGTTTGGTTTGCAATAAAAGATTAACTTTATTACAATTTAAGTGTTTTTTCTCTGAATGAAAAATAACACACATACATGTATGTATGTATATATATATATATATGTACATATATATATATATAAACTTGTGACTCAGCATTCACACAGTAAATTCCCATAAGCCAATTCATAAATCCATTAAGGAGACCAGGTGCTAAACATTAACCCGTTACATCAGACAGATCTCAGACCGGGGTCACTGACCTCTTCTAAATGTCACATATTACCACAGAATGGACTTTTACCGACGTCCGTGCGTCAGCAGACTTATACAACAGCAGCAGTGCAGTATGCATGTTACTCTGTCTGGCTGTGTGGCTGCTTCAAGTCCATTACAGCTCAAAAAAGAAATGCAAGTTAATGCTAACAGGGAAAAACAGTGAACTAAACATTAGCATAGCTCAATGTTCCTGCTTAGGTTAATGCCAAACATCTAGTCAGATCAAGACAGCGATGGTGTTGAGAACTTTGACCTTCATAGTTCACACCATATAGACCTTAATCATTACAGAAAGTTACGATAGAGTTGGTGAAGGGAAATCAAATATTTAACTCATCAACCTTGTTAAACCAGTGTTCACAGGTTCTATCCAGAGCACAATTCTAATGCTTTCACAACGGGCACAAATTAAATATTAAATTATTAAAATAGCACAATTCTAATGCTTTCACAACGGGAACAAATTAAATATTAAATACTCAAAATAAATGACTTTGACATTAAATAAAATCCCATCTGTATCATTTCCAATGTATTTCTTGGTATATTCAAAGTATTCCACTGAGTTTTGCATGAATAACATACTTTACATCAGGGAACTATTTTTTTTTTTAATTTAAAGTTTATAGTTCTTTCATGTTCTTCAATAAAATAAAGGAATAAAATAAATAATAAATGCCATATGAGATTGTAAGAACATAATGTATCATTATTATTGTATTATACATTTATTTATTTTGTTGTATTTAAAATTGTACTTATATTTTACACCAGCAGCCCTGGATCTTTTTAGCATTCGTAGTTATAGACTGCCATCTACTGGTCTAGTCAGCAATTTCTTTTATATTACACAAGTCAAGTAAATTCATCGGTACAACACGGTTTACTTAAATTAAAATAAATCAATGGAAAATAAAATCTGTAAATCAAAGAATATCGTCTTAAAATGACATTATAATATATTAATAAAATGACATATTCATACTACATATAGTCTTTTTTAGTCAATGTTCTATTAAAATGTGTAGAGAAGACATTAAAAAAACTGAATTCTATAATTCTATAAAACGAATAGAAACCAGCAGTCCTTAATGACCTTAATGACCTCACTGACTTATGGTCTGGAATGATCACTATCTAATTTTACCATTAATTAAAGGATTTCTTTCTTCTAACATATCTATATAGTCTATATCTATCTGTAGTTTGTGCCATGTGCTATTTAGTTAAACAACACAAAACTAATTAAGTTTGTGAATTAGTTTCTGTGGTAAGATGAAAGGATAATGTTGAAAGGAAGGTGTGACGTCACAGCCACGTGTCACGTCCATCTGCTCACTCTCACCCACGGCCAATCTCTTCTGTATTCAGCATGAGAGAAAAGCAAAACACCAAGAGAGAAGACCAGCAGAAAGGGAAAAGCTTTTAAGGCTCAGTGTAATAAAACACTCCTCTCTCACCGCCAGCCTGCTCTGTATTCAGCATGTATTCAGTCAGAGCTAAGAAAAAGAAGTGAGAAGCAGTGATGCAACGTTTCAAACGCCAGCTGCTCTAAATGACTAACCAGGAATAATGTCCCAGTTTTACAACACGTACTGTAAAGAAAATGGCATCGAGGTGAACACACACCTCTTAGAGGTTTTAGAGGACGCTAAGGGAACAGAGAACGTCACATTAGAGGCGACAGGGGTCCGCCATTTAGAATGTGTGCAGAGACTCAACGACGTCGACCTCTTTGCACTCTGCAAGTGTCTGCAGAGTGCACTGAGAGTAACGGAGCTGGACCTGAAGTACAACAACATCACCGATCAAGGAGCCCTGTATCTGGCTGAACTCCTGCAGCAGGAGAACCCACCTCTGCGCTCTCTGGACCTGATGTTCAACGACATCCTGGCAGACGGCGGTGAGGTGATCAGCAGGAGTCTACACTCAAACCGCAGCCTGCTCTATCTCAGCCTCTCAGGGAACAAGATTGGGAACAGAGGAGGGATGCAGGTGGCCCGGATGCTGCAGGCCAACAACACCCTGCAGGAGTTGGACGTGGCCGACTGCGACCTGGCCACTCAGTGCGTCATAGCCATCATCATTGCCGTGAAGAACAGTAAGACCATTCGCTGTGTTGACCTCAGCCGACCTCTGCTCTTCAGCCAACAGGAGGAGTGGGCGGTCCACTGTTGCGACATGCTGGCCGTCAACAGCAGTCTGGTGGAGCTCCACCTGGGGAAGATGGGCATGTCTGACACCGGGATGCAGAGGATTACCGAAGGCCTCAGGCGGAACCACACCCTGCGCTATTTGGACGTGCGGTGCAACCGCATTACACGCGACGGCGTGCGCCACCTTGCTAATGTGCTGATGGAGAACCCGAGCCTAGAAGTCATAGACTTGTCATCCAATCGAATCGAAAATGAGGGTACCATGTACCTGAGTGAAGCCATTGCCAAGTCGGGCTCCAGCCTGAAGGAGCTGGCTATCAACAGGAACAATGTCAACACCAGTGGCCTGCTCGCTCTCTCCCAGGCAATAAAAGCAAATACAACACTCACACACATCTACGTTTGGGGAAACTTCATGGCGGAGCCAGTGTGCAAGGCCTTCAAAGATCTGCTTACCAATGGACGCCTGCTGTCACAGAATACGGACCTGACTGCGTATGAGGTGGACGGCCGGGTGTTTCTCGCTGAGGTCAACCACTATTTGAGGAAACGTTACAACAGGACAGATGGTTCTGATACGGACAGCAACTCCAGCTGACAGAGGCAAACATCAGACTAATTAACTTTAAAACTAAATTTCAAAATACACTAAAAAGATGTGAGCCGGAGAAATAATACTGTTTCTAATGTGGAGAAACGTCTGCATTATTCCATATGTTCATTTTTACCCTAAGTCCTGTTTCAGTGGACTGTTCATGGGGGGGTGTCTGCACAATGTCACCAACTGCTGATTGAAATTAACACAACCGACCACACTCTGAGTGTTTGGTAATGATCATGACAGATGTAAACGCATTTCAACATTTAAGAATTTCGCTACTGTTTAATATCCTTGTTACTAAAGCTAAGGCTAAGTTCACTACCGCAGAACGTGAATGCTGCGTTTGTATCTGTCATGACGAGTGCCAAACACTTGTAGAGTGCAGTAGATGGTGCTGGCCAGTAGACGGCGATATTCTGCAAGAAATAAAATAAAAGGTGGAAACAGCTTATTTGGTCGATATTTAAAAATGCAAATATAGGTGTGTTTGATTGTGTCAAAAATTATAATCACAATTATATTGGTTTATATTGAAATGACAAATATTCAAAACAATTATTCATTGGTTTAAGGGATTTTCTCATGTTGAACTTTAAAATGTATTGTACAAAAACATTAAAATAAAGTGACAATATAAATAATATTGTTGAGGCATGTCTAGCTATTTTTTGTGTTTTTCCCAACATTGTTTCTGAAATGACAGTTCTGTGTTCTTCTCTTTACTGCATTTTCCTGGACAGCTGTCAACAAATGATAAATTATAGAATATTAACATAAAATTTGATCAAGATCACAAACACTCACAACATATATACAATGTGTGTGTCTAAACGTACATATTAGAGGCAATCATAAAATATGTTCCTTAAAATTAAGATCTTTACAATTTGCTTTGATTATTTGAATACTTACTGGATGTGTTGTTATTTTTTAGCCATGTGAGGTGTAAATATTGATAATATTGATCATTTCTGTATGTCTTAAGATGCACATTTTGCTGACACAGTGAAAGCCCAGTATGTAGCCATATGTAGGCCACTCATCCCCACTCCTCTACTCCCTCAGAGACGTTACATAACCAACACACCCACACTCAAATACACACACATGCACATACGCGCACAGACCTCTGGTAAACCAAGCTAAGCATCAGGTGACAGGGGTTGAAAATAGGTCAAACTTCGAACCCTTTAGGTCAATACGGAACATCTAAATACAGATACAGATCTCTGTTCAGACACTCAGACCAGGCACACAGAATAATGCAGGCACATTAGGCTACATTCTGTCATTAGTGAAGCAGCAGAGGCAGGTGTCGCAGCTCAATCCTGCAGCTTTCTTAGAAACTGGCCATGGGAACTGCACAAAACAGCAGGTGGCCTCTGTGTTTGTTAGCAGTGCAGAATGAGTGACTCAGCAGTTGTTGATCCAGGTGTGTAATAAAGTAATAAAGATGACTACACTTTAAAGGTTATTAATGGGTAACAATTGTAACAGAAAAGTGCTGTCTAAGAATTTCAGTTTAATTTTAAGTCCAGTTTTCTTTCCAAGAACCATCAAGGAAGATTAGTTTTCTTTATAACCATTCCACGTACAAATATTTAAACTATTTTAAAAAAACAAGGTCTAAGTGAAGGCAAATTATTGTCTATAAATATATTGCAAATATTAACACATTAATTAAAAACTACAATAAATATTTTAAAGTTAATAAAATATTTCTGACTCAGTAACGTTTTTGTGTTTGTTTACGGGTGTTCACAAACAGAAAACACGAGGAAGCTCTAAAAGAACATACGTTCAGGTTTGGTTGTTCTTCCAAGAAATCAAACTGTGAAATTATGAAAACAACAACATCAACTGTGCTGTCCGTTGTTGACTTGAACTACATTTTACTCACTTTGTTCAATGCTTATTTCTTCAAAAGAGCTGTAGGCGTTTAAATCATTTTCCTATGAATAAGTTTTCTGCCTTAAGCTTATGGCTAAAAAAAAACATTTAAGTCAAAACAGATCGTTTTACGTATCGTATTATCATTTTCCTCTTAATTATAAAACATCTAACATTATATAAAAATAAATGCATATAATACAAATATATTTTCTTGTTCCTTTAATATATATAAAAAAAGAATATTCATTGCTCGTTAATTCATTTGCAAAATAAGCCACTGAAACACGCCTTGTACTTTCAGAATGTGGGCTCCAATTGGATTTAACGTTCCTGTTAGAGCAGCTGAAGGAGCGTTTCCTATTGGTTTATTGAGAGAGCGGTGGGCGTGGTTATGACGCCGCTTCAGCAAAACAAGTTGGACTTTTACAGAAGCGAGAAAAGGGCAGAGAGACACAGACATACATACAGAGAAAGAAATAGAGAGAGTTAAAGGGAGAGTACGAGAGAGAGAGAGGGCGAAGGGAGGCCGAGGAAAAGTTAGAGAGCTCTGACCGAGACCGGACCGAATGGACCCAGAAACCCGGCTCTGATCTAAGGGGACCAAACACAGGTAAGAACAGCGGACTGGAGTGACTGCAGCCTCTGCAACTGACACCCTTGTTTACAGTGACTGCCGTGGAAGAAGGCGATTAATTTGCTCGTAATTATCGGACAAGCCTCCACTTGAAAGCGGCGCTGTGACCTTTGCATGTGTATGAACTTTAAACACGTGTGTGTCTGTGTCATTTCTTTGTAATAACCATGCAACACCAGAGAGAAGAGACATAATACTGCATTACAGTGTTATCATCAACCGGCAACCTCTTCTGAACATGGAGCAACTGATAAGATGCTGTTGTTGCAGGGAGAGAAAAGTGCACTTTCAGACCCACAATATATATTTTTATGATTATTTATTTTATTTTTAGAAGTGCAACAAATTTGTATCCCTTAATTTCTCTTTGAGATCAATAAAGTATCTATCTATCTATGTATCTATGTATCTAAAGACCTATGATACATGAAAGTTGTCATGGGACCATAATGCATTGTAATTAGTGTATTTAGTTTATACTAGATACTCAGCTTGCAGATTTTGACCATTCTGATGCAGTAATACCAACTTCTATTTGTATTTGCATGATGTCGTCATGGCGACGTATAGAGTTAATAATTAAGCAGCAATAATTACATGTGTAATTAAACATCTGATCCAAAGAGAAGCTCAACAAGCTCAATGACATAAACAACTCTATTGATTCATTTGAAATAATCCAAAGTGCTACAGCCAAAAGGCAGATGACTCCTGTTTGGGAGTCACACCAACAACTCCATCATGAAGACACACATCAGACAGTGGCGACCACCAGCTGTTGAGTAATCACTGAGCAACAAGTAGAACATGGCACATTCCAATATCTTTCCTGCAAAACCTTTCATGAGTGTTGAAACAGTACCAACTTTCCTCGTTCAATACTGATGCTATTTCCTTCAACGCACGTTTGTCTCTGTTTTTAATGTGCTCACTGCCCAGGACTTATCTGGTTTACACAGGTCTATGCTGTTCCTGGTGGTTAACAATGGATCCCAACAGTGAGACCAGGATCATGATGGCTTCTCACCTCAATGGCAACCCGTCCTGCGAGAACCAGAAGACGGACCCTCGCAAGAGTCCGGGTACAATTAGAGACCATTAACGTGTTCCATAGCAACGTGTTCCAGTCAATTGTGACTAATTATACTTATACATGCTGTGTCAAAGAAGGGTGGGTGCTAACGCATGTTATTAAAAAAGGACGTGTCCCGCAGCTCTGCATTTACAGGTTCCAGCCCAAAGGATTCCCTTACATATGCAAGTATCACCTAGAACAAGGAGAACCAGCTCTTCTTCTTAGAAATTACTTAACTGGATATCTGGTCAGCAGCTTCTCTGAGGTTAGCTGTCTAAAAGTTAATAATAGACTGGATGGAAAACAGTCGTCACAACACGCAACTCTGATTAATAATGAAGCCCATTTTTGTTTATGATTGCTGTTATGGTAGGTGCTCGGTCACTGTGACCTGGCTTACCCCCGAAACATTAACTCTTGACATACTCTGTTTCATATTTGCACAAAGCGTATCCAACCGGACTACATGCATTTAAGTTCACAGGGGAAACTAGCTCGAGAATACCGAAAAGTTAATCCAGAAAAAGTTAAGAGCATAAGCCAAGGAATAATAGGGAAAACAAAAAAAAAAATTTGGGTTACTATATTTAGAAAATATCTCAATTAGCCAAAAACGTAGCAAAACCAACAAATGTCAACAGTAAAAAAATAACAATATTAACTAAACATTGACACAAAAACTGAAAATGTAACTTTAAATATTTTAGAAATGAAGCACAAATGTCAAGGAAGACAATGGTAAAAGTTTGTAGAAAATACAACAAGAATAGCTCAACGTTAACTAAAGTTGCTAAAAGATAACAACAACCTGGATCAACATGCATAAAAATGATCCGAAACAAATCTAAAAGTCATTTTTTAAAAAGGGCTGCACCCAAATTAAATTTGCCAGTACTGCACTTTACACAAAGTTAAAGGAACTTCGTTACTGTGTTGTGATAATCTGACCTGTGGAGGGCTGACTCTGGCTCCTGCTCTCTGCAATCTCCCTAAGATAACAGATATACTGCAGTACCCAGGTGATTAAAAGACAAGTCTCAGAGATTATCAGAAAACATTTGTGTTTGTGTAATTTGCTGGGTAATCACTTGCCTCCAATACTAAAGGTAATACATATTATTATATGTTTGTTTTCTGTAACAAAAGCACAATGACTCATTTGTTGTAGCAGTCAGTTTTCTCTGTTATCAAATGCAAATTCTTTTTTATTATTATTGCCTCACAACTCTATTATCATCAGCTGTAAATCACACAGTGGACGATAACCACTCTCAGCCTGCCCCTTTATCAGGGTGGGCTGCAGCAGTAGTCTTTTCCACCTAGACTATCACTCCTGTATTTATTTATGATGAAACAGTTGCAGGAAAATAACTGCGACTGCATCCACGTGTCAACAGATACTGATTGTAAGAAAGCTCTTCAGGCTCACTGTTAATCTCTTCAACACCTCACTTCAGCAGATGCCTGTAACGGAGGTCGACATTTACTCGTGACACTGGATAACCATGTTACCGCCGAGTTGAGATCAACGATGACTGAGACAGAGTCACGTCGACTAATAACAGAGTTAACTGTGCCAAAAGTTAACCATAGTTAAGACCCAAGAAGTGCGTTATCAGTTAGCTTCTCTTCTTACCAAATGAGTAATACTGTGTGTGGTGTGACTGCGGAGTGTTTATCCTTCATGTTGAGCAAACGTTCCTGAGCAAATGTAATGACAGACAATATGTCTTAGACAAACAGACTCAGACGCTTCCTACTGTAGGTCCATGAATCTAAATTAACTCTGTTTCAAGGGGCTGGGTTGTGATGGGTTTTTTTTTAAATGGTGAAAAGAAGGATTTCCTAATCAAACAGATCATCTGAGAGCAGTCTGTTCTGTCTTTTTCTCCAGGTTGCAGCTGGTTGGTGGTGGTAGCAGCTGTTGCAGCCTCCCTGAGTGGCCTGATGCTGGGCTATGAGATGGGTCTGACCTCTGGGGTGTTGTTACAGCTGCGTGGACTCCTCGCCCTCTCCTGTCGAGAACAGGAACTGCTGGTCAGTTCCCACCTGTTCGGCGCTCTCCTCATCTGCCTGGCTGGGGGTCCAATACTTGACCGTTACGGACGCCGCTGTTCTTTGCTCCTCAGTGGTGCCCTGGTGGTGGCAGGGACAGTTTTACTCATAGCCGTGACCTCTTTTATCGCGGTCACGCTGGGCCGAGTGATAATCGGCATGGGAACAGCACTGTCAGGCACAGCAGCGTGTCTCTACATTGCAGAAATCTCTCCAAGGGAGAGGAGGGGTCTCCTGGTGACTCTGTATGAACTGATGCTGGTTATAGGAGTTATGCTGGGATTCAGTTGTAGTTACGCCTTCGCCACTTTACCCCATGGATGGGTATACACCTTTGGACTGGTGATCCCCCCAGCGCTGTTGCAAATAGGGGCGCTCCTATTCCTACCATGTAGCCCACGGTTCCTGGTTGCTCAGGGCAAACTGGAGCAAGCAAAGTTGGTTCTGGGTAAAATGAGGGGAGGGGTCACAGAACTTGTGGAGGCAGAGCTTACAAACATCCAGGCTGGACTCAAAGAGGAATCAGAGCACAGTTTCTTGGAGTTGTTCAGTGCCAAGGCCAACCTGCGTTCACGGCTGCTAACAGGCATAGCTTTGGTTTTCCTCCAGCAGGCCACCGGTCAGCCTAACATCCTCTCTTATGCTTCGCCGCTTCTCCGAAGCGTTGGCTTCAACAGTGACGCTGCAGCCACCCTGGCCTCCACCGGATTTGGAGTGGTCAAAGTCGTGGGCACCATCCCTGCGGTGTTGCTGGTCGATCGCGTGGGACCCAAAAGCTTTTTGTGTGTGGGTGCCGTGGCGATGGGATTGTCATTAGCTGTACTGGGTACAGTGACGGTGCAGAGTCACACGCAGCTCAGCAGTCTGTGTAAAAGTCAAACAACGCCAAACCTCACTCACACATCACTGGAATTTAACAGGAACTTCACAGCGCCAGACAACACTGATCTTTATTCTTCACATTTCTCCAACAAGTGGAGTAGTGAGGAGAAACTAAGGACCGACACAGAGGATGATGAGATTTGGGAGTCAGGAGGAGGAACAACTGGAGTAGAAGTGTCTTCTTCCCTCAAATGGGCCTCATTGATCAGTCTGCTGGTGTATGTGGCAGCGTTCTCCATTAGCCTCGGGCCAAGTGAGCACCCATTCATTAAAGTTTTATTGGCACAGCCATGCAGATACAAAGAAATAACTAACAACAGATGTTACGGTACTATTAACCAATATCCCTTTGGAAATGTATCTTTTCAACAAGGATAGGTGTAGACAGAAACAATTATTCCCATTTGATGATTTACATCTTACCTGACAAACCAAATCGTTTAGGGTTTCCAATGTTCCTACTGTAAGTACTGTATGTTATGGTAAAAAGTACAAAGTCCAACAGAGACTATCACGCAGTAGTCTGTCTCCAGTAAAGTATAGATTAAATACTTCACCAAGATAAAGCTGAGCAACTACTGATTTCGAAGACTATAAATCTATAAATCCTCCAATATCAGATAAAATCAAGGACCAGTCCAGCTTTCTTCATAATCGACCCCAACAGACATCAATACAACAGTATCTTTTATAGTTCAGCCTTCGAGAATTGTCAGCCTGAAGAGATTGTCAAACTGATCCCTAATCAGTGTCTACTCCATCAGTATTTGACAGTCCAGTCCTCACACTAGTCATTTCATTTCAGTTTAATTAATTTACTCCTGTGTATATTACATATTTCTTTAACCAAAAACTATCCTCAGGTTAATGACTCCATTGAAATTGTTTGCAGTGGTCTACGTGGTCATCAGTGAGATCTTTCCAATGGGAGTCAGGGGCAGAGCTGTGTCCGTGGTGTCAGCTGTAAACTGGGCCACAAACCTGCTCATCTCCATGACCTTCCTCACAATTACTGGTGTGTGTGTGTGTGTATATGTGTCCTTGAATCAATTAATTTAGAATTATTTTCTTCAGATTGATTTGTTTAAATAGGTGAAAAAGACACTAAAATTACTGGTCTACATAATGGAGCTGACGCTTTGTTTTGTTTTCTCAGAAAAATTTGGTCTCCCCAACGTCATGTTCCTTTACGCTGCTATGAGCTTTGTTCTCCTGGTGTTCGTCATTCTCTGTATCCCAGAAACCAAAGGTCGCACACTGGAGGAGATATCGAAGGAACTTGCTAAGAAGTGAGTGTCAAGCCTACCTGCAGCCTCTGTTTGCTTATCTCTACTTCCTTGAACGCTCTCAGACTGATGTCACTATCTCCTCCTCACCACCTTTGCTTCATCAGAAAACATTTCCACATGAGTCTCTGTAAGCGGCCGCAGCTTCGGGACAGCCTGATTCGCAGCAGCGCGGCCACAGAGACGCCAACGAACATCTGAGACCCTCACCACCACCACCTCACTTCACAGCTTCACACTTTAAGAGAACAAGAACAAGCAACTGGACAGACATGACAGCAGTTTCCTGTAGAAATGTGATCAAAAACAAAAAAGAGTTAAGTAACTTTGCAGTTTTATCTACTACCAACTTGAAGAAAATATTCTTAGTTGTCGCCTAGCAAACCACACAGACCAAAAAAAAAAGTATAACTTAATTACAGGTAGCCTGTCAAGACACGTCTGTTGATTGTTTCAGAACCCAACATTACAAAGAATTCAAGCATGTCACCATTTACGGTTTGTAACGTTGTCAGAAACATTCAGCTCAGACACTTCAACGAGTTGGTTCCATTGATTCCAATGATTTTCAATGGGAACTAACTACAAATAGTGCCATGTCATTTTGAAGAAATTATCAAAGTGTGTAAATGTAGACATGGAAGGTCTAGATCTGTTTTCCAGTCTGTAACTGAGGACTTTCAAGCACCAAGAGCGGGCAAAATGCAATCTGTCCTGGAGTGTGCAGCAGGTTCACATTGAGTTACAGCCACACTAAACATTAGCCTTCCACTGCTGCTGTGAAAAGACAGAGCTGCACTGATGACTAATGCACATGTATTACTACAAATACTAGAGCTCAGGGCTTTCACTGTTGTTTGTCAACTAACAGATCACTCACTGCTTTTCCACGTAAGGTAAAAAGATGTTTCTAAAGTACTCAGAATGTTGTCAAACCACAGTTGGAATTGGAATCGTAGCACAACCACTGGCATGACATCTAACATTTGGACTTGACACAGGAAACCAAACTCATGTTCTACTAGTCATTCACACATACGGCCATTTGTACAGATTCTTAAAGCGAGACCTGATCCACACTTCTCATTAGGTTCCATGTGAAGTAATAAAATAATGCAGCTGAACCAGTCACACCTGTTATAACATGGGTTGTAGACAACAGCAGGAAGCAGAAGCTCACACAACAACTCAGGATATGACGAGTCTCATTTTTTACGGGAGCAAAACAAAAGATGCTCTGTTCATGCTGTTTAAAAAAAAAACTGTGTTAATTGATGCCAAACTTCAGTTAGCCGATTAACACGCTGAATGTTTTACCGCAAGGAATGATGTGTGAAACTTTTTATGAGGAAATTTGCACATTTTTTTAAAATCGTGACTATGATTGTAAATATTATGTATGGCAAATTGACATTTCTTTGGTTTTCTGTATAAATGACATCAGTGGTCTCCAGCCAACACTACCTGGGTGCAGATGAGCGTCCAGCCAGGAAAGAGGAATGGCTGTTCACTAGCAGCGTGTCAGAAAGTTTATTTTCACTGTGATGTGGCGTTGTTTTGTCCAATAGAGCTGCACTACATTTACTGTACTGTAGTCATGTAAATGTACGTCATTGTAAAGAGCTTTTCTTTTCTCTTTCGCCACCTGAGAGTTGCAGCCAAAAGTGACACTAAAGCCATCAGCTGGCACCACCTGTGGGCTGTACAAAGCAGATTTTATTGTAACATAATTTTAATTAAAGGGGTTTGATGAAAAATAATGCAAATTATATATTAATAATCTCACAGGCCATGAGTTTGGGACCTCTGTTAATCAGTACTTGTGAAAACAAAAATACATTTTAACAAAAAATGGATGAAAAGGTTGAATGGCTGCATCTGTTTTATCATCAACCTTTATTATTTGTACAAAATACAAAAATGTCACACATACTGTGTTTACAGTCTATTTAACTCAAATACAAAGTTTCCGATCAGACGCTTTAATTATTTACATATATGTTACCTCTATACAGATGTCCCAGCCAGCACAAATGCAGATACAACTGCAGTTTTCACTGAACACTGTGAAGCCATCCCAGGTTAATATCCACTTACATACAATGCTGGGCAGACGCCTAAGCATTCCACACATGACAACACCTTGTTGTTTGACGCCTTCACATATTTGGAACCTAGAATGCCTAGTCTCCTGGTTAGTCTCAGTAACCAGAAACTCCCAAAACAACCCATCACTCACCAAAACAAAGACAAAAAAAAAACAATTCCAACAATCTTCATGTAAGACCCATTCTGTACATTTAAAAACATCAAAATAAATATAGTTCTTGAAAGTTAATCTGTGGATTAAAACTTCTTGGAAATGTAAAAATGTGTTTATGTCAAGGCGAATAAAAGCCAGAATTGTGCAAACTTGGAAGATAAAAAAAAGGACAACATCTGACATGAATGCAGGCTGTATGCAAATATATTGCACATATGTGTGCATGTATCCAGTCCAGACACAGTATAAGCTTTCAACAGCCAACCACCATTCAATAAAAACATGACTTAATACAGCACACGTCCTGTATTAGTGCAAACAATTAGAGCAATGGACGCTTCTGGAACAAGAGGTCAATTTGACAACTTCTAATAAGGTCTCAGCCAGGTTTAGTTAACACAAGGTTAACAGTTAACTGTTCAAACTGTCTGGTTTGTTAAAAGCTGGATTTGTCTCCAAGCAAAGCCACAACAATAAGCAACAGAAGAACACATTCGATGCAACTCCAGTTCAAACAGATCCTGGAATACATTTTTGTCACACAACACTGACATCAGCAAGTCTTCAAAGTGAGGCAAGCGTAGTTTTTTTTTCTTTTCATTTTTTTTTTTTATCTCAGGCGAGTGTGTCGGGTGTTTGAATGTGGCTGTTGGAAGGTAGTGATTAAAAAAAGTAAATAAATAAACAGACAGCTAAGGTGCTTCACTCCCTACTGACTCCTTCAGCCTTCCTTAGAGGTTTCTGACACTCATACAGTAGAGGGTAGACCTGCTCCACGGCTGTGGCAACATTCTGCACATTTGGTCCTAAAACATTCAGATGGAGAAAACAGTTGAGTAAAATCACCACTGAAAGGTGTAAACAAAATAATACATGGCTGGTATTTAGGTCAATCCCTTTGGTGAATTAACAACAGCTTAGCTGGTCATAAAAGAAGTCCTTGAAAGTTTTGCAACAGCCTGACCTCAACCTTTTAAGATGCTCAGTGTGTGTGTATAAGTGTACCTGTAATTGTGAGGCTGCCGGTGGAGAAAATCTGACACGTTGCCCTTAAATGTTTGATCCTGTAGGTAACCGCTGGATGGAGCTCTGGTTCATAACTGGGCAAAAACAGAATGTCATTAAAAGAAACGATGGCACCAACTTTCATTTCCGTAGAAAACCAACCTCAAGGTAAATACAGAAATAGCTTCGTTCTCACCACTAGAGGTCACCCTACGGAAGCTAATATTTCACCAGAGGTCCCCAACCTTTTCCAAACAAACCAACCCCGACAAAACAAAATATATCTAACGACATTCTAAAAAAATAAAAAGCAGATTAAAAAAAATTAAACTCACAACAATCTTAAATCACTGGCCGTCTCTACTAAAATGAAATGATAATCCATAGAATGAAGAATGACATAAAATAAAAATGATTTGTTATTTATTTTCTGTGACACCTGTTACAAATTCAAGGCCAGTGGCTGGGGACCTCCAAACAAAAGCAGCGGCAGGCATTTTTAACCCTTTTTCGAATGCAATGTTAAAGAAAAAAAGAGCATTTCCTTTCTCAGAACAAAGCTCTATGACCTCTGGCGCCCCCTTGTGGGTGTTAGAGGTAAACATTGATGACAAATGAACTTTTTTCAAGAAATACCTATTTATACAAGAACCACTTTTCAACTATGCTTTAATGATAAAGACAACAGCGTTGATACTTTGGCAGTTGTGATGTGCAGGACTGTATTACCTGGCAATCGGACGGTTGTTCTTAGTGAAGTCTATGAGATGGATAGCAAAGGGCATGGAACACACCGCCAGAACATTTACAACTTTGAAAGCTGAAAACCTCACCTAAACAGACAAAGCACAGACATTATTTTAGGTCTTCGTGTGTAGATGTACTGATTTTTTTCCTGCACTTTGTCAGTCACTGGCCATAAAACTGGCCTGTTGTAGGACCACAGCATTTTAGAGTCAACATGACTTTACCTGAACCTTCAGGTTAATGACAACATTGAATATCAAAACATGAATATGTACTTATTAAAAACAGACAACTGATGAGATACAGCAGTACAACCCAGGCACACGAGTCCAACAAACAACCAAAGTTTGCAAATCAAAGTTAACTATGAAGAAATATCTTTAGTTGTACTCAACATGCAGAATAGGGGTTTGCTCTCTGACATTTGTATTTGACCTGGAAAACCGCTCATGAACGTAAACTAAAACAATATATATCATTAACGTTTCATATGCAATCACTTTTACCTTGAAGCCAAGTTTCTGCAGACAGCGTGCTAACCTGCGTGCACCCACTTTGGCTTGATCCTCACTAAACGAATGAGTGGAGACAAAGTCAGTTTGTACAGAGTGCTTGTAACAAACAGCAAAAATCACCAATTAGACATTATTTTAGAAACCCTTTTTGTGACATGTTTTTTAGTATTAAGGTCATAATAAACAAGAGAAGCAACAAGTGAACTTATTTTGACAAATATATATTTGACATTGACATTTCTTGAGGTTTTTCCAAAATTATAATTCCATCGTTTGGATTACTCACACATATAAACAGGTGTGAAACACATACATCAGGTTTAAATGGATTAATTAATCATGAATATGCAACATCTGTAATAAATCATATGAAAATAATTTTAATAATTTGACAGCCCTAGTTCAAATGTATATTGATCAGATGATGCATTTATTTCTGATGTCTTACGCTACTTTTTTTTCACCTTGTTGCTCCAGTGCAAATTATTTTTCCAGAGGACCAAATTGACGCTGTTATCTTGGGCTTACGAAGCTTCATCAGGACTTTCTGAAACAGAAGGAATTGTCTTGTTCTGTAAAGCTCTATTATTGTCTCAAATGCAAGAGTCAAAACTTAGATAATGTAGTCAGTTCAGTAATGTAAAAGGACATTTGTTTCACTGACTCACCCCATCTTCTGGCTTATAAATGACATTGATTCCTTCTAAAGCAATGGTGCGCAGGTTAAGATGGCATCTCGTCCTGAAGGTGGCCACTACGTTGGTGATAATGATATCAAGTGCCTCATCATTTCCGGAATCCATGAGGAAGTGTGTGGTGCAGCGATGGGACCACAGGAGTTATCTCCTCACACGATCACCAGCAGCATCACCAAGTAAGGAGATGAGACTGCCTGTAAGCACCAAATAATTTGTTTAATTAAACCAGAAAAAACACTTTGTGCAGGGAACTATATCACTCAAATATATATATATATATATATATGTTTGTATGTGTGTGTGTATTTTTTAAATAAGACATAACTATCTACCAGTGCACCTGTAGAATAATGTAAACAATGTTGGAATTGGCCCTTAAGTATGTGTGTTTTGGTTGTCTGGGTCCTTTGTAGTTTCTCTTAATTCAATTTATCATCTTAGGGCATAGAAACAGTTCACAATCACAATTTGAATGTATGCTATAACAAAAAAATGCTTTGTTTTTAAAGACTTCTATCTCGTGAATTTATGTTTAGTTGGACATTGGGACATTATTGTGTTTTTTTTTGCACGCATCAGTTGCTAAACATACGTAATATGTTAAATCACTATCTATCTATCTATTGACGTTTCGACAGTAGGTGATCATCTGTTCACGCTACAGTATTGTAACAAGTTTGAGCGACTATAATGCTAACCAATTTAATCGGCACACTAAAACCAGCCATTTATCCATTTCCATTTATCCTTAAAATTCTTTTAACGCAACGAAAACAACTTTTTTCGAACCGTCTTAAAGTCCATATACTTGCACAACTCAAATAATAAAAAAAACTACGTCACGCAGGCACAGCCGGTGTTCTAAGCAAAGCTACATGGTAGCTAACAACAAAGAAAAGTGGAGGCGCACTAATGAATGAAAAGTTGTTAGCAACGCTACCTTAGCAGGCTAGCAGTTAAATCTTGCACTGAAGACAAGGGAGTGTAACCGTTCGCTGTGTCGTTTAAATAAGTCCAACTGATTTTTTTCAAACACTTACCGATTCAGCTATTTAACAACTGTCTCTGTCAACACATGAAGCAGCTATTTAACGGTCTAATAACTGGACAATCCCTTCTCTCCACAGGTACATACCATCCATGCTAGCAACAGACACCACTTCCGCTTTCAGTGGCGTCTCTTTACACTGGAGTTCCATCGCAGCCGGCAACAAACTGCAACTTCCGTTTTGTCGATCATAATATTAAAGATGTGTGAAGCAAGAAATATATTTAATGAAATATCACTAAAAAGTAATGGTCACGTACCTAAAATGACGTTTTTAATCTCCGCCCAATTGTTTTTTTTTTAATTGAATATCTGTGGTAGCTATTTAATGAGAATTCAAGCCTAATAATAATAATAATAATAATAATAATAACATGATTTATTACATTATTATTATTATTATTATTATTATTATTATTATTATTATTATTATTATTATTATTATTATTATTATTATTATTATTATTATTATTATTATTATTATTATTATTATTATTATTATTATTATTATTATTATTATTATTATTATTATTATTATTATTATTATTATTATTATTATTATTATTATTATTATTATTATTATTATTATTATTATTATTATTATTATTATTATTATTATTATTAGTGGCCTGTGAGTATTTTATTTGTCATTATCATGAAATATAACCACTAGATGTTGCTAAATCCTTCATAGTTTACCTTTAAGCCCACTGCTATCACATCCAAAGATTGAAGGTTTCGACCCTTGAAGAAAAGGACATTGCTCTGCTCAAACGTCTGCCAATATAACACTTAACAGGCTTATATTAACACTATTCCCACACAACAATGTCTAACCTTTTCAGTGTTTACAGTGCATTGACACTCAAGGATTGTGGATTAGTAACATCTCAAAAGGAAAAAAATGCAACATTTGGCCAGTAAATGTTCTCCAGGGAATTTTGGACCTTTCACAAAACAGGAGAAGGAGGGAGGTTTGGAGAAGACCGGCAATGTTTTTGTTATCAATGAGAGAATTCACAGCCGTTACTGATGTAATACTCATGAATGATGGCATTGAGTGAAAGCTGTTCTGTAGCGTCAGTGTCTCATTCTGTGAGGACTGCAGGGAGACAGACAGTGACTTAATGATGGTTTATCTTGGCCATGCATTTGAGATGACTTGGTCCGTACTTTATGTGGTTTTGCACAACACCGGATGAAACTGATAAGATTAAAAAAAAAATTAAAATGTCTATTCTTGTTATGAGATAAAGATGCTTAAACTAAACAGAGCTTTGAATGTGTGTGAATCTGTGCATGCAAACATCGACGTGCATGTGTGCACTTAAGAAATAGAGCCTTATTTCTTGCTTATAAAAGTTTGTGGCTTTAGAGTAACTCTTTTCCTGGGAGCACTACAAACACATCTCATGCCTGGCCTGTGGCCAAACAAAACAGAAAAATAGCGTCTTTATGATTCATCCCTGTTGATATTGTTCTTCGCCCTTGGTTACCAAATTATCTCTTTCCTCCTCTCATTTAATCCTCCTGGGACTCTCCTTGTAAAAATATAGCCTTACAATTCACATCCATCCTACTCACAAACCTTGTTCAGATGTCTTGGGATGTTTACTATAAAGGTTTAGATTTAGAGCAGGTAAGAAAAGTCAATCAAATGGCATTGGTTGTGTGTGTGTGTGTGTTGATTCAGAGTGCAGCAGTATGTTTACAGTTTTCTTGGGCTGCACATCACTGGGGAAATTACTTCCCAGGGGAACAATGCTCTTAATTTCATTAGGTCATAAGAAATGGCATGTAAACACACAGATGTGAGCACTTAGGGCATTGTAGATGCAGATTATCGGGGCAAAGCGAGCCATAAATCTGGGAATATTCCTGAGCTTGCTTATGTGTGTATATCGTTGGTTACAGTGCAGATTCTGAACTGTGAGCAAAGAGCTGACTTTATTATACTGCGTCTTGTATTCATACAAGACAGAGGACAAAATAGTTAATAAAAATCAACTGTTTTGCTATTATTGAGCCAATATCAATAAATAAGGTGTAACTTAGACCACACATACATACTGTACACTCTAAGGCTCCAGTAGATGTTTTCTTTTGATATTCTAAACGGTCAGGATAGTTTGGCATTTTTCTGACAGGAAATTGACGAGGCTCTGAAGAACATTCAAACATTTTTGGAAGAAGTTTCTGCCTGATCTTATCGTACGTCATTGTTTCCAAAAACAATCCCTATTTCCTTTTAAATCTGGAAAGGTCAGCGCCTAACAGATGCATTATTTTTGCAGAGATGTGCTGCAGAGGAGACCTCAGTGTTGCCTGTAAACTGGACGTGTTTGTCAGGACCCCAGAGTTCTGTTTATGTTGGGCGCCCATCACAGACTCATTTCAAAAGGACACCGAAAGCAAAGTTAAAGCTTTTGAGAGGCTTTGCGGCACTGTTGTAAAACAAAGGTCAGCACCGGTTTGAGAGCTTTGTGGGAAAACTTCAACAAAAACAAGAAGTGTAGGAGGTCAGGTGGGACACAACGACCAGACTGGAAAGACATAGGGAAAAAGGAAAACTTATAAGGACAAATGTGAAGTGGTAGAGGGAAGACAGTAGTGAGTAGAAGAAGAAATTACTGGACGACGAACGTTGGCATTTATGTGTATCACCTCTCTACTTGAGATCCTACAGGATTTGTCACAGAGTACGTGTAAAATCTTGTCTGCTATCGAACGTTTTAAAGCGTGATGGAACCTGTGTTGATATATTAACTGAGAAATACATTTTAGTAAAGTGCAGTGGCTTTTCTAAAAACTGCCCTTCACAGTTTTCACATGTCCATGGTAAAGTGCAGTGGCTTTTCTAAAAACTTCCCTTGTATTCACATGTCCATATTCTGGGTACATGCAGTTATGAGTGTGTCTGTATGGGATGGTGATGGATAGTGTGTGAGATTGCCGTGCAGAGGGAATCCAGTGCTCTGGCAGTGCTGCTCTGGGGTCTCCCAGTGTAAACAGAGACGTGGGAACGGCCGAGCCTGTTTATATCAGCACCATTCTTACTGGGACCAGTCAGTCAGACTTCAGGGGCACAGCCAACACACTGGTTACGTATGTACACACACTCTTACTGATTTGTAGATACCATACTACAGATCAAACATATCATACATAATGCATTAGGCATTAAACAAGTACAGTACAGTCTAGTTTATGTTTAGCAGATTAAAGCGGGATTATCGTTTGATTATATGACACCATGATTAGAGCAAACAACCCTCTGTATGCTCTTTTGTAATGAAACAGAATCTCCGCCTGATTCTGAATCTGAATAATGGTGCAGCTCGGCATAGTATCAAAGACTCAAACATTTTCTTCCAACTCTTCTAGTTCTGAGACAACCACTTCAACACTAAACATGTTTGATTTACTGGACTAACATTAACACACCTGCACAAATACAATGGACTTCCCTGCTCATTAGTACCATGTTTAGACGAGTGTTAGAAATGATAATGCTGCCAACAAAAGCTTCAGTCTGCTGTGAGATCATCGAACAAAAAAAGAGTTCTGTCATAGAGGAAAGGTCATAATAAACTAACTAAACAAATTATTATTATTATTTGTTCTACCAGTCTCTTTGACTAAGCGTGTGTGGCACATTAAAGACCTGCAAAATGTACATGAGAATACTATGTTATTTGTCTAATATGTTTTTAGTAAAAAAAAGTATCACCTACAGTACAAGGAATTCCCAAAGAAGTATTAAAATAATATTTAAAGTATAGAATAACTTCTAAAAAACTCAAGCTCCATATGATCCTCATTATTCAGTTTATTTCTGATAAGCTAATACACATTTTCAGTAACTTTTAATTGGGAAAATACAAACATAAATAAAAAATGAAATATTTATATCTTCCCAAACAAAGCTCGTACAAAAGCACTTTTCAACAAAAGTCGTACTGGCAAAATGCATTTTTCATCGCATCTATTCACAAGCACGGATAAACAATTCATGTTGCTGCAGTAACAGGGGCCCTACTAACCATTGCATCAGCGTCCCAGACAGACAATGTTTGGACAGAGAAGGGGTTGCTGTAAGCCTTGTGGAGTGGATTCTTCCTCTCCCATTAAAAAACAGAGCACTCCAAAATAACAACCACTCCAAGAGCACAGATATGTCATAGGGCAGCATACCATCATACAAGGGAAATACATACATGACTGAGGGACGCAGTAGATGGAAGAAAAGGTTGAACAGTTACACACCTGGTTGATCTCTGGTTGATAACAGTGTGTTTGCATGTAACACTGCAACATGCATTAAAAGCACTAATGAGTACTGTTTATGTTACAGTAATGTGGCCAGAGGTGCTGGATGCCTTCGCTAGTGCCTTTGTGTATGGAGCCGCCTCAACTTTTATGCTGGTGAGGCTCTGAAAATGGGTGGAGTGGG